TATATATATTTCGTACCTACAAACAATAACCTTGTAAAATGTTTAAAAATTACTGACAATATGACTACAGGAAGGTTGACCTGCATTTTGAAGACTTACTAAGGTTGCATCTCTTCGAGGAGGAGGTTTTTGCCTGAGGATAGGAGAACCTGTGAAAACAAAAAATATAAAGACAAATTTAAGATTTGGCTAACATTTGTTTGTTTGTAATCATTTACGGGGCAGCTGGGGCTCAGTGGAGATAGTATACAATATCCAATCAGAAGACTAGGGGTTTAGTCTAAGCACTGCCTAATATTAGTGTTATTGGGAAAAGACAACAGTGATTATTTAAAAAAATTAAACTGATGTGCATTTACGTTGGAAGGTATGTGAGAGTGTTTGTGCAAATGGATAACTGACAAACATCTTCATGTAGATCATAAATCCTAACAGACACACAAAAAATGTACACAGACAAATATTCAAAAATATAAACATTCAAAGTGAAACGACTGACCGATCTCCACACGATGCGGGGCTATACGAGCCACAGCCGGTGAAGCAGGCTCTGTTTTGCTTTTTCCTTCCTGCGACACATTAACAGGACTGGAGTCAGAGCAGAGGATTGGTAAGCTGATCTCCTTCCTGGCAACCTGAGGACTCTCTGGGGCTCCTTCAATCTGGACATTCTTCTCACTGGAGGTTTTCTTGTTTAGGAGGTTGCTGATTTCCATGATGTTTCCGATAATCTCCACTGGGCCAGTTACGGCCTTCTTACGGGGAGAGAAGTCATCCTTTACCTTCTTGAGGTAAGAAGCTGGAGCCCAACCTTCTTTATCTTGGTACCTGGAAGGGAGGAGACAATGGTCAAACTGCTTTTTTATTTCTTTTTTGTAAATCAAGACTAACAAAAACATTCAAAGCTAAAGAGCAGTGGCGTACCTGACAAACCACCAGCCTTCAAGGTTTTTCTGAATGACTTCCACAATAACCCCTTTCTCAAAAGCTATTTCGTCTTTGCCCTCGCTGGTGTAAGGCTGTACGGTGACGTACTTCTCTTCTGCAAGAGGATAAAATCACAAGAAAGTTAAGATTTGATGTACATTAGAGCTATAAACAAAATATAAAATGGTAATAAAAGTGAAAGCCATAATATGCTTTAACTACTTTTAAAGACTTTATACATCTATATAACCACACTGTAGTAATTTTCTGGAATAGTGGCACAAATGTTTCATTTTGAAACAGAAACAGGGATCTACTTTTCTTTCTGTCAGTGGATCAGTCAAGTGTGTTTTTTTTCTTTTGTGCATGTGTTCAAATGTTCTTTGGCACTGGTGTTAATTTTTTATGAAGCCAAAACGGCTTTAAAATGCAGTAAAGTAAATAATTACAAGACAACAAAAATTCAAGGCTTTAAAATATTTTGCCATCACAGCAGTTTATTATTATTTTTTTTCTTGTATTGCACAGATGGAATGGGCTGTAAATTATGTAATGGTTAAGTAAAGATTTACGTAACAAAAAAGTCATTATTGTGGTAATAAAGCACTGTAAGCCCTCTATATTGAGCTCCAGGCAAATAAGGAGCATTAGGGAACCCTGATGGTGGAAGATAATAAGAATAACATAATAATATTTACATTATGTATCTATTTACTTAACTGCTGGTGCTATTTATTCCTAACCAAAAATATATTTCACAGGTTATAGCTGGATGGAATAATCTTATTTCAATGCAAAATAATTTGATAAAATAAATAAAAGGTGCAAAAAAATCATCAATGTTTTTTGTTAAACAAATTGTACACCCTGTACAGGTCACCAGCTCAACCCAAGGCCACATACAAACAAATAGCCATGCAAACACACACACGTGCGTTGTTTTTTCTATCCTCGTAGGGACTTTGCATTGACTTCCATTCATTTTCCAGTCATTTTTACAGCCTAACCCTGACCCTTTACCTTAAACCTAACCACCCCAGTACATACCTGACCCTAAATCTAACCTAAACTCAATTCACACATTGTTCCTAAACCTAACCCCCAACCCAAAATCAGCATCCATACCCGCCACACACCACAGTGAGAGTTCAGCGATGCCAGTTGACCTAACACTAAAGTTTTTGAACTGTGCAAGCACATTGGAGTACCCGGAGAAAACCTGTGCAGAGAGCTTTCAAACTCCATGCAGATAAACCTCAGCTGGAAGTCAAATCTGCGACCTTCTTGCTGCAAGGCTACAGAGCCAACCAACTGCACCACCACACTGCAGTCTCTGAAACACTGTCTGACAAAAATGGAACATGGCTTTGGATGAGTTTTATTTTTACTAACAAATAATGACATTGGAATTTGATTTATCAAAACAAAAATTCAATGGTACTAAAAAAACATGTTAACCAAAGAGTGTTTAATTTATATTCTATTATTTCAAAACTTCCTTTTAATGATTATCTCTTCATGTTGTCATCGTGTACTCATGGGTTTTCTCTGGGTATTCTGGTTTCCTCCCACAAACCAAAAACATGCATGTTAGGTGCAGTGGTGGGCACAGTTCCCCTAAAGCACTAACAGGGGAACTAATTTTCTAATTAGTGCTTTAGGGCTTTTGCTAATTTTAAAATTCATTAGTGGATTAGCACCTGCTAAATTTATAGGCTAAATTTAGAAGCACTAACTGAGGTCTATAAATGTTGTTGATTGTTAATGTTAACAGCTGACAGTGAAAGCTGTCACTCATTTTGTTCATATGTGTGTCACTTATCCACTAGGTGTCAATATATTGACAGTATATAAACCGAAACACTGATGTGGAATGTCAATGATAAGTCTTAAGAGAGCAACATGTGACTCATGTTGTCTGTCAACACATTCTCACTCCCGACTCGTCGACATATTGACCCTTGGGCAGGGACCGTCTGCGTCCAGTTTTGATGCGTCGGGTACCCCCCTTGTGTCAATCATTGCCGCACGCGGCTTTTCCGGGTTGCGCCACTTAGGGGTCTGTGGTTAATATGATGGATCAGGGTTAATGGTAAATTTTAGGGACTGAGGTCGGGGATAGGCTGTATAGGGCTAACAGACATTAAATTTAGGGTCTGGGATGATTATTTGTCATGCATTTTCTACTCTTTAAAAAAATGATCATGCACTCCTCCTCCGCCTAATCTTGTTAAGAACTGATGCGAGGGGGGTACCCCACGCGTCTGAAGCTGGACGCAGACGGCTACCTGACCAAGCGTCAATACGTTGACGAGTCGGGAGTGAGAATGCGTTGTGTCTGTTGAAGAATGTTCATGGGTTGACTGGGTTATTTTAGTGCTTTTGAATTAGGGGACCTAAATATTTGAGTTAGTGTTTTAGAATTAGCGGACCTAAATATTTGAGTTAGTGCTTTAGAATTAGGGGACCTAAATATTTGAGTTAGTGCTTTAGGGCTAGTGGAACTAATTTTTAGATTAGTGTTGCCCACCATTGGTTAGTTGAGTTGGTAACTCTACCCTGGTCTTGTTTTATTGGTCACTTGTGGCCCTGTGATGGACGGGGGACAAGTCCAGGGTGTTTCCCGCCTTTAGTCCATTGGCTGATGGAGATAAGAACCACTGGATGAGTGAATGTCTATGCATTTCCATGCATTCCGATGAGCTTCCCACCATCAGTTATCCAGAAGCACAAACTTTCCTCAAAATGCTATAAAACGAAGTGAACCATGACAGAAGTCATTACGATTACAATTTCATTATAATATAGAACCAAGAAAACTAATGTGGTTGGAGTGCATGATCAGTGTCAATAACCTTGAGACAGAGAGCATCTCCAAACTCAGCACATTATGCTGAATTATGTATTCCCAAGGGGCTAGGGGCAGAGCAGAGTCATTGTTTCCTGTTATTATAGCACTTCCTGACTAAATATTGAGAGATAACGCAAAAGGGGAAAAAGCACATAAGAAGTGTTGTGTTTTGTGTCATTAGACACAATTTACCAGTGTGGAAACTTTTTCTTTTCCCTCTTTCCATCCTTATTTCCATGGTAGCAGAATGATTGTGTGATAGTAAACCTCTCTATTTAAACAAACTCAACTGTTTGATATTTCTGTAAACCTTTTTTTATCCTAAAACCCTATTTTTTTAACAATATTTAGCATTATGATGAAAAGAAACTCTGTCATGTCAACCACAACATGCACCATCTGCACCAGTGTTATAAATTATTCATGTGGAGTCAGCAAAAATCTGAGGTTTTGCTTTTTTTTTTTTCAACACAAAGCAGATTTTCTGTCACAGGGTGGAAACAAATTTCTCCACTCCAGAGAGCAGCGTGCTCTGCCAGAGCAAAGTTTGGCCTTTCCTCTCTGCTCTGTCAAAAATCCAAATGTATCTCCAGTGAAAGGGGGGTTAAAAAAGGAAAGAAAGCATTACCTTTGCAAGAACACTGAATATTTTGACTGAACATGCAATTTTCTTGTCAATTAATTCAGACATTATTAGAGCTTATTATTTATACTGGTTGCTATCTGGACCACAGCGAGATAAATGTCTGTTTGAAAACATGCTCATTAGAAATCTACTCAAATCTATGCTCTATTTCCTCATAAAAAGTCAAATATGGCTCCAAAAATGCAGCCTAAGGCATTCCAAAGTCCATTACACAACTACTTTCAAATGAGTGGGTAATGATTTTTTTTCTTCTCTTTTTTTCTGCAAAACTCAAATTACTTGTTTTGGCTCAGAATACATACCAACAATAAAAAAAACACCTACGAGGAGCGATTTTGTAGCATAAATTCAGCTAAGCATCAATAATTGTTGCTTGTAAAATTGCTCATTTTAACTTTCTGTACATTTTGTTTTATTTTATTTTTTTAACGAGTTAGTGGTTAGTTTTATGGATCGTGCCTATAGTGTTTCCTGGTAGACAACATGGGATGCTAGACAGAACAAATATGTGCATGGTGACAGAGACAAGTTGATTCATGTGATGAAGCGGCGATAAATAAAAGAGAAGAGAGGCATAAAAACAGAGGGAGGGATGTGAAGAATGATCTGTCTCGGTTCACCTCGGCTCTGCTGCCGGCTGATGACACCCCCCAACGTCCATCTCCGGTCGAGTCTCTTCAGATGAGCCTTATGTCGCTTAGTAACTGACACAGGGTGACCAGACGACGGCAAACAAACAAATATGGAGACATGAAGAGCAGGCATAAACGTTAGACAAACACACAGCACACAAATGACACGGACCAACCTGTTATTAGCTCCGTGGAAAACATAAAAACACAACCACAGAACAGAACATGGCAGACAGTTAGAGTGGATGGATGGTTACAGGGGAAGCGTTAAACCAAGACATCTTCTCTCTGGCCTGTAATTAGGATGTTGTTAGCATGGTTTTCTCATCCTGTTGTGTTCTGAGCATCTGGGGCACACATTGCCGAGGCAGGAATGCACTTCATTTAACAAAGCGGGCTGAGAGCACCACCTGTCGGGGATGTGGGACTGATTTGTTCTCATGTTTTACGGACGCAAGGCAAGAAATGTGAGTCATTTTTAAATCTGGGAAAATTTAGTCACATAAAAATGACGTTTAATTATTTGATTTTCAACAACGCAAATAAAAGATTGAAAAAAAAGTAAGTCGTTCTAATCAGTAATCTATGTGATTAAACAAGAATTATAGCAAATGCAACTTTAAGAAAGTCTTTGATGTTTAAAGAAGTCATCATTGAAATATAAACATAAAAAGACTAGTATAATAGGGAAAAAGACTTACCACCTTAAGAAGAACACCAACTAAAGTGTAAAAACATAAATAATATTTTATGGCAGAGTTACAAGTTATTTTTTCAATAATATTTCCTATTTAAATGGAAGAAAWAGGGTGGCATAAAAATTCATGTAAATTACCAAAGTGCCTGCTTATATTTATACAATTTAAACAGACCAGGTTTAAAACATTCACAGTTTTATTGCTGGCAGATATGCTGGACAGACTCGTGGCAGTTGTGTGTGCCTCCATTTATTAATATTTTCTCTTCTGGCTGCCCAAACCAGTCTCAGATTTATCACACAAGCAGTTTTGTCTCTGCCTGGACACAACAAGCAAGGTTTCCAAATACTATACATGCTATAACGTTATAATGTCATTCCCTCATCAAAAACATGCCCAGTGTTGCTTTGACTCATTCATGCATTTATATTTTCACAAAGCCCCTCCCTGGAGCTCAATCTGAAGCTGAGCTCCAACCCCCACCCCTCCCATGGAGCACTGATTGAAAATGTGGATAAGTAGGAGTGTCAGAAATGGTAGGAGGTTCATAAAGAGACAGAGGCCAATTTGAGTGCGTTTAGATAAGCTAAGAGGCAAAGTCAAATTTATTTTTGATATATACAGCACTTTCATAACAACTGAATGTAACATAGTTATAAATTTATGTGCCTGAAAAATACATACCCCCCACCCCCTATTAAAAATTAAAATATAAGCTGAAAAAAAAAAAAGGATTAGGGTAGGATGTTTCTATTTTAAACATGTCCCCATTTATCTCCATTTATGCTTTTTGTTTAACCTTTTTTTCAAACAAGCACCTAAAAGTTCTGTTCCAGTTTTCCAGAAACATGTTAGTTTTTTAAGGACAACCCAGTGACACAGACTGCTGCAGAACTGACAAAGAGAATCTTTATGAGACTCATGCCATTCCCCTGACTTAGTAGACACATAAACACTAATTACACCGACAGATTGTCCCTCCCAAAAGCCCTTAGCAGATAACTCAGAGAACACACAGCAGCTATCTCTGACAGAGAAGAGGAGATAAGGCTGTGGAAATTAGATGTAGTTATGTATTTAATATATGTTAACTGTTTTATAAAAATAGACATTTTCTCTAATACTTGTATGGGTGCTCTACCATTCAAAATGAAAACGTAAATATTTTGAAGGATATAAATTAACTATCACCTTGCATGCCAACATTTTAAATAAATATATTTTGTAATTGCTCACGGTTGGGGATCACTCTCAGCTTCTACCATTCCAAATTGTAGCTCAATATTAGTCATACTGATCGAGTTACAGCTACTTCTGTGTTTGCTGAGGTTGATTCGCAGTGGCATCCATCTTGAATTTGGTTGACTACAAAAGTTTATAAAATATAGATGTGCATTCAATAATTTCTTTCTCAGTATTTCACTAAAATCCGTTCATAGCGGAGATCAGAAATTGTATGTGGCATGGCTTTGAAGGTGATCGGATGTCATACTTCAGCTTTACTTTCTGACAGATCAAACTCTATGTTTTCTGCAGGGAAAGTTTCAAATTTCCCTCTTCAGTCATCTAACATCAACACTCAGCATTAGTTTGCAGTAATAAACAGACATTGCGTAAAACACCTTGATTAATGTCCAAGTTGGCTTTTTTTTCCCTAAGCCATAATTCAAGCAGGCTGACTCGTGACATACTCAAAACAAAACACATGCCTCTTTCATGAGCTCAGTCCAAGGTGGTCATATCACTGAATACTACATTGCACACTGCATCACTGTAACGCACATCATCTCAGACACTGTGGTTTGCCCTTTGCTGGCAATCCTTGCTGTTTACTCAGGTCTGAATCCACACTCTGTGCTTGTAATGGCAGGCAAACAGAAAGAGGCGTTCAGAGCGGCAGGACTTGAGCTGTCAGCGCCCGGACGGCTGTGGCGAGGCCGTTTTCCCCACTTTTTCACAGATCAAACACTGACAACTTGGAGGGGAGGTGGTGTCTGTGTGTGGGTTTCTAACAGAGCATGTGCTTTTTTGTGCCCGTAGGTGCGTGGGTGGGCGGAGACAGGAGGGTTTGGTGACGTACCTTCGCCTGCTTTGGAGGCGCCCACCTCAGAGTCATCCCGCGTTCCACTCTGGGAGTTAAGATAGGTAGCAGGAACCCAACCCTGCTCCTCCGCTGTGCTGACGAACCACCAACCTGTTAAAAGACAAAAGGGCTGAAAATCACCACAACCAGGTTGAAATCAGGTGTTGTTTGTGTTAGTTTTCTGTATGAGTTGGAGTCTATACAGGAGATGCCACACACACATACAATATGGCCAACAGCTGTGAGGATGGCGCATAAAGAGAATACAATTGCACTGTGACACTTAAGACAGCTGGTCCGAACCTCTAGTGTACACTTTTCTACGGAAATGTTGTTTTGTGAGGGCAGAGTGGTTTCATATGATTAATTAGAAGAATCATAAGAACAGATGGAAGACGTAAAAGTTAATATGGCAGAAGACAGCAAAACTAATGGAGGTTAAAGTTAGAAAAAAAAAATGCATTGTTGCCATCTTATCACAAAATAGACAGATACGCCTCCATAGGATTGAGTAGGTAATACCATCATTAAAAAGTGCTTTAAACAATTAGTCATAGGAAACTTTATTGCCAACCATCCACCTTCTCCAGACTCCTACAGTTTGCATACTTTATGTGCACTGAGTCAGCCTGTTCACAATCAAACATGCCCTCCAACCTGTCTCCTCCCATCTGAAGAAAAAGAACGGTGATGTCAGAAGTTTCCTCATCAACTTCATAAAAGCTCCACTTGGACTAAAAGCCTCACTCTGTAATTGGATTTTGGACTTCCTGTCAAAAGATATTTTGTGAAATCAGTAAGACATCACACTGAGAACAGGCAGCCCTCAAGGATGTGAACTCGGTCCATTGCTTTTTACTCTGTCGACTCCTGACTGTACTGCCAAATGCTGTACTATGACATTGTTCGGCTCTAAATCAGGGTTTGGGGAGCTGGAGATAATCTCTTCTTTAATGTCTACAAAATTGAAGTGCTGATTGGTGGATTTCTAAAAAAAAAAAGAATGATCATTACCCACTGCACATTAGGAATCCCCTTGTGGAAGAAGGCAGCAGCGCTGAAATCTTTTTGTGGAGAAAGGGGGTCAACATCACACAGAATTTCTCCTGGCCTCTAAGCATTACACACAGTTAGAAAAGATAGGCAGAAGAGGCATTTTGTCTGTTGGTTCAAGCTTGTGAGGATCCCCTCCTCCATCCTAATTACCTTTTACTGAACTATTGATGTTATCCGTACAAGCTGCATCACATTTTGGTATGACAGCTGCAGTGAAAACTGATAATAAGCCCCTGCAACATAAAACAGAGGGAGCCATCTGGGTTTTCCTGCCCCTCACTTTCAAGACTGTTTTCAAGGAGAAATAAAAAAAAGAATACCCTTGTAATATAAGAAACAGCTCTCTCTTCTTTCATGGGCTGTTCAATCTTAAATCATCTAATACTGAAGTAATCATTTATGTTTGAGGGAGACAAAGGAGTGCAAGGATATCTTTTAAAGTTTTACATCTGCTTCAGATAGTAAATTATGTAAAGTGTGGTAATTTTAAACCTTACTAACTTTACACAACTTTAGATGAAAACAAAATACCATTTCCTTAGCATTTTTGGGTTAAAAAAACACAGAGGCTTTCACTACATTTAAATGATTTTCAACAATAATGAATAATTAAGACTTAATTTATTGTATAAAAACAAAAAGCATTTATGTTTGTCCTTCCAAACTCTCATCACTAAGAAAACATAATTAAACTGACTTTACGTGTCTGTGCCTGTCCACCTAATTAAACTGAAGCAAGACGGACCACAGATATTCCACTGACAGACTAATGCACATGTTTCACTGTGGGAGCAATAACAAAGGAAATTGTTCCAAGGTCTTTCTGAAGCTTCCAGTCTGCAATTCTTATGAAAGTTTATTTGTTCAAAAGATGAACTTGCTAAGTTGCAGTACATGAAATTAGGATCAACAAGTGGACTGTTGAGGATTGAGTTCAGTGGGTCCAGATAGAACAGTGTTGTTTGGCTCTGAACTCTGCTGGCTGGTGGTCAGAGATTAACAAGGCATGTATTGGGTTCAGTCTTTGAACCAGAGCTCAGACTTGAGCAAAGCCCCATGCTAATAAATCAAACTGGGTTCTAAGCCACAAAAAACACAAAGTGTTGTCTACAGCAACCAAAACAAAATTACTCAAAATGCTGATTTCTTCTCTCCATGTTGCAGTTTAAAAGCTTCTGAGAAGATGAATTTGTCGTTAATTTAACTTTAATGACAGGGATAGCACATTTTAAACCACATTAAACCTAACGATATGAAAATGTTGCAACAGCTCATAAAATCAGCGAAAGCCTTTAATTAAATCTGATGTGATTACCGGTAGTCACTAATAAACTCTAGTTTGTTTACGTTACATCAAATTAAATCAACCACAATATGAGAAATTTGGGTTGGAAAGAATAAAATGGATCTTCACATCTGCAAAGTGTCATTTTCATTCTGACATTTTAACTGGAAGGAAACGCTGTGTTCTCTGTAACAAACTGGCAGATGATGTAAAAATTAAACAATGTAGGAATATGGTGTAGCAATATGTTTTGTTGAATAAACATGATGTTGTTTTTAAAGGCTTGAGCAAATGCAAGTTGCTATTGATGGCAGGAGCTGTGTGTCTCACAAAGTTCATTCAACTCCATGGAAGTTTGTTTGCATGTTTCTAAGTGTCTCAACAGTTCTGCCCCCTCTTATCTCACTGAATTTCTGCAGCCATACGGACCACAGCACTCTCTGAGGTCAGCAGATTAGATGCTTTTATTGGTTCCAGGGACACAATGCAAACTCAGAGGTGAGCTTTTTTTCTGTTTCAGATCCAGGACTGTGAAATGGTTCGCCACCACATGTTAGGCAAACTTCCTAATATGAGGTTTTTAAATCTTAAAGAACACACTTTTCATTTCCTGTTTTTTGACCCAGTGTGAGATGATTTGATCCTTATTGTCCCCATAGTAGGCCTCATCACAGGTGATGTAGCCAGTTCGGATGTTATCAGTCCATTAAATGGATGTTATTAGCTGTTATCAGTCCCATAGAATGACTTCAGACTGTCCCGACTGTGCCGTCTAGCAGGTTATGAGTCCCATAGAATGGCTTCAGACTGTCCCGACTGTGCCGTCTAGCAGGTTATGAGTCCCATAGAATGGCTTCAGACTGTCCCGACAGTGCCCCCTAGTGGGTTACCAGTGCCATATWCGTTGGAAWGCAACAATCTGCTACTGCCAGAGTCTGGTCTACTTTATCGTAGCCCATGTCATTTTCTCTAAAATTAACCTTTGTGGCTTTATGTCTCATATTAACCAGATTGCATAAAAAAAACTTAGTGGCTTTATGCTTCATACCAGCTGACAGTCTGAAGCCATTCTATGGGATGGAGAACCCACTAGGCGGCACAGTTGGGACAGTCTGAAGCCAGTCTGAAGCCATTCTATGGGACTGATAATGGCTAATAACGTCCATTTAATGGATGATAACATCCGAAGCGGGTGGGTGATGATGAATCAGAGTACGGGTAGTGAACACATAACTTTACAGATGAGTGTAAGAGGAACCACCAAAAGAGCTGGTGGTGGACTTGTGCAGGCACAGACCCACCACACTGTCACTGGTGAACATCCTGGGAACTGAAATTGAGATGGCAGAATCTTATAAGTACCTAGGTTAAAGAAAGAAGCTAGTTGATAGAAAGGCCAGCTTGGTCCTTGGATGTCCAGTCAATCAATCTATTCTATTCTGTTGAGCTTTTTTATTGATTTGGTTTGATTTATTGATTTAACAGGAAAAGATTACTAAAAATCAAGCCTGACTCAGCATAATTGCTGTTTTACAGCAGGTTCCTGTTCTGCAGCACATAAAACACTCAGAAATGCAGCATCACAATCACATCATTATACACCATAGACACAAAGACAAACAAGCATACCAAATTTCAGGAAGGCAGCATTTGAAAAATAGAACATCTAAATATGAGCACAACAAAAAGTGTCCAGCAGATGGCAGACAACATTCTTCTTAAAGGGCTGTGGTTTTGAAATGGACTTTATGTTTTGAGGAATGTCATTCCATGCTTTAGTATAAACACAGAAGAAAGACTTCTGGCCGTAACAGTTTTTAAAAGTTGGTAAAATCAGTTGTCCTTTTGTAACAGATCTAGTTGAATGACCACTTCCAGAATGTGATTTGGGCAACAATGCACAGAGAGTTCCATAAATGGCACCTTGGAAGATCTGAAAATTCATTTGTTGTAAGAGACCAAACAGGTAAACAGTACGACGTGGTTGAGAGTATAATGGCACGAAGATAGATATTTGAAACAGAAGATGTCAGAATGGATCTAATTTTTGAATAAACGTATAATTTCTGTTTCAACTTAGTGGTTAAGACTTGTACATGATCACGATAAGTCAAATGAGAATCCAAAKTAATTCCAAGATATTTGTAGGTAGTGACAATATCAAGGGGTTTGTTTAAAAAAGTGAGTTGATTTGTTATATTGAAATGTCTCCTGGGTGAGGAAAAATACATGCACACWGTTTTTTTAACATTAATTAACAAAAGATTATCTTGAAGCCAACCATGAAATGTCTGAAGATCTGCTTGTAACTGACTATTAATAGATTCAATACTGAAATCAGACAAAAAAAGAACAGTATCATCAGCATATATTAAAATATTTGAATACTTCAATATTTTTGGAAAGTCTTTTATGTATAATAGGAAAAGCAATGGGCCCAGTATGCTACCCTGCGGAACTCCCACGGAACAGGGCAGAGACCCGGACACAGAGCTTCCATGTTTCACAACCTGACACCTATCGGTCAAACAAGAGGAAAACATTTGTACTGCAGATGATGAAAGTTGAAAAGAAATCAACTTTTGTAAGAGAGTATAATGATCAACTGTGTCAAACGCTTTACGAAAATCAATATATACAGCACCAGTTACTTGACCTTTGTTCAAAGCAGCACRTATTTGTTCAGTGAATAAAACTAATGCAGACATGGTTGACCTTGACGTGCGAAAACCATGTTGGCTATTGCTTAACATATTATTAGCTTCTAGAT